CTTTGAGTCTTCTAACTCTCCAGCCATGCTACAGCTGTGTGCAGGATAAGTTGCTATGGAAACCGCCAGAATCATATAGAACGGCTTGGCGTTTGTGTGCCGTCTACGAGCGAATTATTTCACACCTACCTTAATTAAAGACCTCCTTCTAAGATTTTGTACATTTTATTAAACATGGAAATTTCTATACAAGAAGAAAGCAAAAAAAAAAAATAAGATCAAAGTAATATTAAAAAGTTAAAACTAGTATTTACTAATTAGTTAAGTTCAAGTGAATTACAAATTGTACGAGTAGTTTAAAAACAACGTGAAAAATATGAGTTTAAAGTTTGTAGAGCAAACTGGAGAGTTGTATTCATTGTTAAAAAAAAGATAAATAAACCACGACCTAATATTCCAGAAAAAATAACTGTTTATATTTAAGCCAAGGTTTCAAAATAATTATTTCTATATATTTTAGTGTGTAGTCCACTTTATTACGCAAGACTAGAATTATTTTGAAATCTTTTGTATAAACCTAAAATCAGTTAACAAGTGTCTTGTTTGTCCCGATAAAGTCAGAACGGGGAAACGTTGGCTTAAATAAAACCATTTAATAATTGAATAATATTTTTTGAATCTTGCGGCTTTATAATTATAGGAATAAATTTAAATTAACATGGTTTGGATTTCGCCAAAAGCTACACGAGGGCTATCTGCGCTAGTCGTCCATAATTTAGCAATGAAAGACTAGAGGGAAAGCAGCTAGTCATTACCATCCAGCGTCAACTCTTGAGCTACTCTTTTATGAACGAATAGTGAGATTAACCGTCACATTATAATGTCCCCACGGCTGAATAAGCGAGTATGTTTGGTAAGACGTGGATTCGAATCCAAGACCAGCACATTGCGAATCGAGTGCCCAACCCACTTGGCTGAAATTAACATGGAAGGGTAAATAGGTTCGATGATAAAGATAAATGGTATGAAACTAAAACCTGACAATAAGACACGGCGGTAAAATCAAAGTGAAAAAGGCAAAATGAAAAATGCTTTTCAATATTTAGTAGATTTTCAAAATATTAATCTTAATTTGGATAGCGAATTAATGACATTAAATAACTAGTAATCAACTACATCTACCCCCCGACTTTCGACAAATATTATGGCACAAGGGAGGAACGGGTACCCACGGGACATTAGTTCTATGGACCATTCACAAATGCCGCTTTCAGTAAGACGCGGTGGCATTTAATTTTCCGTTCTAATATAGCCAACGGCACGAGACGGTTTCGGTAGTTAGGTGGAGCTACTAGACCCATACGTGTGTGAATGTATATTAATGAATTATACATATTATCACTGATATAGCTAGCTACATGTAATTTATTTTTTTATAATCAAATTTTCTAGTGTATTCTAATATTTATCATGAACAATAGAACGATGGCAACAACAACAAACATTTGACAGCTTACAAAACTAAGTGTCATACATCCTGAAAAGGACTGATTGTAAATTTTATTTTGTTTTACTTGGAACTCATTCTAAAAGATTATGATTATTTAAGAGATCTGTTTATTTGTTATTGTTCTTTTTTCTTTCCTGTTTTCTAGACGGTGGAGACCGTCTCGTCCACAGTTGTCATTACTCTACGGAAGCCTAGAAAGGATGCTTTGTGTCATAAACCTCAGACAAATAAATTCCAAAAAAATACGTAAGTAATTTTTGAGATTGTTAAGATCCTTCTGACCCATATCCGTATGAATAAGTTTCTTTAGCAGTAGTAGAAACGAACAAATACTCTTTTCATTTTATTAATATAATATTTATTCGAATGAATAGAAAAAGAAGAACTTTCCAGAAAGAGCAGACACATCTTACTCTTCCATTAACTTCTTAATATTCATACCGAAAACTTGTTTTGAAAAATTTAAATATTTAAACCTAACGCATTTCATGTCATGGTCAACACCAAGTGAGGTGTAGGTAGTAGTTTTTATAGAAAATGATTTGATTCAGTATATTTGCACAGCTATTGGTTAATTAGTCTGCTAATCTTTAGAAACTCGTGTCCTTTGACTACTCTTTACATAACATAAACATTTAACACAATCTTGGCCTATATTAGAATTGATTGATTTATTTCCATTTGCCTAGGAGACACCAATATCTGTATCTTTTATATTGCAATAAAAATTACAAATGTTTACAAATTGGTTCGCATTTTATTAAAGCATGAACTGTTGTTGTTGTTTGTTATTATGCACAAAGCTACACAAGGGCTATCTGTGCTCTGCCCACCACGGGTATCGAAACTCGGTTTCTAGCAGTATAAGTCCGCAGACATACCACTGTGCCACTGGGGGGCAAGCATGAACTGGCTAGATTAACTAAAATTTATTACCAGTCTGCAATATTTTCGAATTTTTTCAGTGGATTCAGTTGGTGAAAAAAACACAAAAAAAAACAGCAATCAGCGATATTGGTGTTGACCTACACTCCTCGCACAATGTAGGATGTACGTTTTTCTTACTTGATAAATAAACAAATCGAAAGTATTGTTACGTCTCTATGTTCGTTTGTTAATTTTCCGTAA